GAATTTTGCCAAGAAAGTGAAAAATGACAAAATGAAAGAAAGAAACACCAGTTCTAGGCAAAATGTCGAAAAGCCAGAAAGAGGTCTGCTACACGACATAAAAATGGGCTAGTTTTTGAATACCATTGACGTCATTTCTTTAGCTACTGACCTCCAGCCACATTACATCCTATACAAAGCCCTAATTGATCTCAAGTCTTATGCATGTGTAAGTCGTCCACTACAAGTTGGGATATGTTAACTAGTATTTCTTTAATTGTATCAATATTCCTCCATGGATTATGCCAAAACATGAATAATTAGTTGTCTTAAAACTTTCACTCCCTTTCTAACTGTGCATGTGATTTTTTTGATTGGTCATCTTTTGATCACATGCCCTTGTGAGACAAGTCAAATCACTAGAATCAAAGCAAATTTTTGCTGAGAACATTCTAAGAAAAGTTTTTGAAATCAAAGCTATCCATGGAAGGTGGTAAAAGTGGAATATTTGTTATATAACAATTGTTGTTTCTAGAATGATTATTCTCACTACACGGGGAATTCCAAATGCCAATGTAACAATGTTAATTTTTGCATAGAATAAATACCTACAAAAAAGAAATATGTTGGAGATAAGTCAAGATTGAGGTTGGGTGTCTCAACGACCATGATGCTAACTTATTTTAACCAACAATCTCACATACACATCTGTTCAACTGAATTTTGTGGGTAGCTTTACTAAAAATCCTCATGAGACAACACTCGTCTACTAGGGTAAACCTAGTGGTTCAACAGCTTGTTGCATATGCTAAATGCAACCGAATGACCTACGAAAATGACACTAGTAATAGATTTTTATGAAATTGTTGTATTACTAGATACTAGCAATATTTGGGTTGGGGGTGTGGTTAGTAGTTAAAATCAGCATATCACTATGCCTTTTTAGGACTAATTGTACTTTAATGGAGTTTAAATGCTGGCATTTCAGGACATAAATTGTACAAGGGACCAAAAGCAATGAATGTCACACATTCGTGCAACACCAACATATTCTAGAGCAAAATTGGAAAAGTTTGGACCAAGGCAAGAACGTTTGAACGCCAATCAACGTTCGAACATTCTCTTGAATTATTGAAGATCAGACTATAGGATGCTAAGACAAGGCATGTTGTAGCCAAAAAGGAAAACACTAAGGTACTTGAATACCACTTTCGAACGCCAACTCACGTCCGAACGTCCACTTGATTAATTGAGGACCAGGATGCAGAGTACAAAGCGCCAAGTTGTGCACAGAGTGTGAAAATGGGTTTCCACAGAAGATCACAGGCTACTTGAGTAGAAAGGTCAGACCTCATTTGGCATTTGAATGCCCATCAAGCATAGACAGTAACAATGTTCAAACGCCAAACAACGTTCAAACGTTGATCCCAAACAAGTTGCAGAGTGGTTGATCTTCTCTTCGGACATTGGAACTTTCAGTTGGACTTTGAAGGTTCTACACTATTCCCTCACACACTCTTGTCCCCCTCCTCTTTGCCTATAAATACTCCCCTTGAGAGAGTTTCTTAAGGGAGTTCCTTTAGAGGTTTTTTTTTTAGTCTTGTAGAGATCTAGAACTTGATTTTGTAGGCTTTGACTACACCAAGACTAGTAAAAGCTTGAAGGAGGCTTAGAATCCCACTTGTAGTTGCAAAAAGCTTGAAGGAGATAGATCATTTTTTAGTTGCGGTGGAAATCCTCTAAAAGTGACTAGCTTTCTACTACTTTCATTAATTGTCTTTCACTTCCATTGTTTAAGCTTCTTTCTTCTCTTAGATGAGTGAAACTCTTCCATTTTTCTAGAGTTTCAAAGCCGTGAAGGGTGGGGAACGTGATTCACTTATTCTTTGTCGAATATCGGCTCTTCACTTATTGTGCTTTGCCTTGTAAGTCCTCTACTTGGAAAGATGGACATCACTCACTTTTCTAGTTTTACTAAAGCCATGAAGAGTTAGTAGTTTCTCATTCACTCTATAATAAGAGGTGATGAACATGTATAAATCATCTGAAAGTTATATTTTGTGCATTTTATGTATGCTTTAATGTTTAGGATAGACCTTCATGACTACTTGTCAATCTTCACTATTATTGGTTCATGTAAAAGATGAAATATTATTTTCATGGTTAGATGTCTTGTAGAAACACCTACTTGTTTGTAGGCGGGTTGAGTCTCAGCATCGACAATTTTTGTAAACTTCTAAAAAGGCATTGAAATTATGTACTTAATTCTCACAATTCACTTTTATCTTCTCATTAACTTACCGTTGACAGGGGAGTTACTTGAGTTGCCAAGCACAATTATAATAAACTGGATGATTAACTACATGTTCAGATCCTCGAGCTAAAGGGTGATTGTTTACATTTGAATTTATCTTATATTTTATCTAGAAAACTAATTGGAAAGAATCTTCTATTCTGTTTAGAAATCTCATACTTTCAAGCTCTCAAGATTTCTAGTTACTTGGTATTTATCACTGTTTACTTCAAAACACTAATTATAGTTCTATGTGGATTCAACTCTGGACTTAACCAGATTATTACTACAACTTGACCTCCTGTACTTGAGTGTACACATCGGATCAAGTCAAGTTTCTAGAATCGTTGTCGGAAACCATAAAAGGTGTTTTCAAATAAAAGATAAAAAGACCTTCCTTTTTGTATATATTTTGTCTTTGATTTTTTTTTTTTTTTTATGTTTGAGTACGATCCTTACTTTCAAACTTTACCAACCTGCTTAACTTAGGTTAAAGATCCCTCGAACTCGCGACAAGTTACCCATAACTTATAAAAAGAAGGCAAAGTTTTTCAGCTCATCCTTGCGATAAGTTCCTAGGCTTATAAGAGCGCTCAAGCTCACAATAAGTTACACTTGTAAAAAAAGTGTGAGCTCTTCAGCTCATCCATGCAATAAGCCACATGGCTTATAGAGTGTCAAAACTCATGATGATTCCCGAAACTCATGAAAGAGCTCCAACGGCTCGACTCGACAGAAAGCTCTTTAAATCATCCTCTACACCAAGCCCATGGAAGTGCCCAGAGCTCACAATGGATTACTTGCAAAAAAGGACAGCTTAGCTTGATCCAGCAATATGAACTCAAAAAGTAACGACTAACTTGCAAAAGGGAAAGCAATGTTTTGTAGCTCATCCAGGCAAATAATGAAACCAAAACTTAATAAAGCAGTCGAACTTGCAAAATTTATACAGGTTTACTCAAAGAAGCATTCGAGGCAAAGAAATTACATTCAAAAATAGAGGAAACTACAAGAATCAAAACACTTCAAAACTCTCCCAGTCAGTGACGAGCCATGACTGACCAGGTTGTTGGAGGAGGACGTACTAAGAGGCCGCTCCTCAGGATCTGGGCTTTTTCCTCTTCAGTTCCCTCACCTGCTCCTTCGGCCTAAAGGAGCTGAAGAAACAAGTGAGGTCTATTTCTGTCAAACCCAGCCTAGAGGAGCTTCCATTTCTTCACAATCAACTCTAGCTAAAGTTCTAGCTCAACAACAACCAAGGACCCCACCCTAGCGTTTGAGGGTCCAGGGGCAGCAGAAGGCCAGTGAAGCCTCTTCCTGGAAGTGGCACTTTCATCCAACTCACCATCGGGAATAGTAGCAAAGCTGACTTCAACGGCAGCAACCGAAGTAAGAATAGGGGCAGGGCCTAGCCCAAACCTAAAAAGGTTCTAGGTAGTGGCCAGCTCCCCGAAGGGCATCAACTTGAGCTGGCAAAGCTCAACCCCATTGACTTCGGCAAAAACCAATCTCAGAACTTCATCTGCACAAAACCAATAAAACAAGTTAAATAACACACGGCTCGGAAGAGATTAAAGAAAGAGACAAAAGCCTTACCCAAGTTTGCAATACGCCGCTAGGTGCATGGGACCTGGATAGCATCCATAGCCCCCTATCCATACTCCCAACCATTCGCAGTGACAAAAAAAGAAATGGTGTTCCCACCCTTTAAGTGATGGAGGAACATCAACAACAAGCCTGAGGATCTATATCCTCCGAGAAACACAAAAAAAATCAGGGAGGAAACTTATAAACCAAGCAGAGAAAATGAAGGCACCAAAAGATTTAAAAGAACCTAAGAGAATGCCCCAACCCTCAGGAATAAGTTGAGAGGGACTGAGATCTAAGAAAAAAAGAAAACACCTTATAGAAAGGTGTAGGGGGGAGTAGAGCCCCATCTCAAAGGCCCCTTCAAAGAAACAAATCCTCTTCTTTCGATGAAGGTTGCAAGGCTCATCGACAGTAGGGGCCTGGCAAAGAAACCACAGGAAATTGGAAGTGCTCTTGGATAGCCACAACTTTAGCCCAAGACACAGAGTTGGGCCTCAAAAAGCCACCCCAATGTGGGTACTCAAGCTTAATCGCAACCCATTGTTTAAAAAATGAAGAAGCAGATAGATCCATAAAGAGCAAAGCACAAAAAAAGGCAAGTTTGGCTCAACAATGTTCAATGTGAAGTGGAAATAAGGAAATGGCATACTTATAGAGCAAAGGAAGTGATGCTTAGTCTCCTGCAACGCTTCGATTAAATGATGGCAACTATGGCATTTAAGGGCAAGTACACAAAATTAAACACCCTTTGCCAGAGTTATGATGATGCAGCACCGGGAAGGATAACCGTCAATCAAGTCCCCTCATCAACTGTCAGGCACGCGCAGGAATGGAAGAGAAATCGCCAAAACCACGTCCTCCATCAATTATCACACTTGCATAGGGATGATAGGTGGTGAATGCATGAAAATGCCCTAGTTTGATTACTCAAACACTTAAAGATTTTCAAAACCAAGAGGTGACTTGGAAGCTACTATAGCTAATTAGCAAGCTCTGCAATGCATAAATTCACAAGGTCAAAGTAAAAATCAAAGATGATTCATTTTAAAAGTCCTACTATTACGGAAAAAAACAAAAAAAGAAGAAAGGATTCTGAAATGTTCTGGTTACAAAAGTAAGGGGAGAAAGCGAAGAAACCCTAGGACTGTCCACCAGAGTCTATCTCAAGTCCTTCATGTTTGGCAAGGTTTAACAGGGCATTAAGAAGAGGCTCAGTTGGAACCTCAATTCTCGACGAAGCCTTAGGAAAAGACGCGGCAGAGGTCCTAGCACCCAAAAGTGGTGCCACAAGATCTGTTTGGCATTTTCTCAAACTCAGTAGTTGATTTTGGAGATAAAGGGGTAACGAAACACATGAAGTCTATAAAAGGATACTTCTTGGTAGCTTGTTCCCGTAGTTCTCCATGACCATCGACGTAATTATCAACGCACCCAGCTTGAAGGTCCTTTATGGTCTTCTTGTTAGCCTTTAAAACAGATTTTAAAGACTCGACCTCTAGCTTGAGCCCATCCACAATCTGCTCGGTTTGTTCTTTCTCCTTCTCGCCCTTAGCGGACTCCACCGCACCAAGAAATCTACTCACCTCGGCTTCCTTTTGCCTTAGCTACTTCTTCACAGGCAAACCAGAAAGCTCTTAAGACTCGAGCAGATTTGGGAAATCGAAGAGATAAGGGATTTGGTAAAGTTAAGGGTTTGATTCAGGGATGGTGTTGAATAAGAATTTTTGGCGATTTAATCTCTTTGGGCGCATTTAATGCGCATGCACAAATTTTCACATGGCACGATACAACAAGCATGTCCTGAGAAACGAAAAATTAACTACCCCCACCCCCGCATAATCGAGCAACTGTCCTAGACCATCGGACTGAGATGACATTTTCCCCAGCTTGGTCGAACTTGGGACTGGGGGTAAGTAATGATACCCTATTAATACGTGTGAGGTATGTCTAAGACCAAAACCATAAGGAGCCGATGCAGGACCACAAAGGACCTTCAAAAATTTGGAAGACCTGACCTCCACCTTTGGGTAGACCTCCAGGTCGGTAAATGCCTTCCCTTATTGAGTGTGCAGTTGATCTAGCTGGATTGTTTTACCCCCTGCAAGTTCCAAAAAGGAAGGTTGCATAATCTCTGCAACAAAAAAGTGCTACTCTAGTGGTCATGGAGAAATAAACTACTACAATCAAGGAGGGATGCACTCCCCACAATCGAGGAGATATTCACTCTAACAGTCTAAGCAATACCTAGAGAAGATCCTAGTTAATAAGGGAAGGCATTGCCAATGTCTTTCAAATATCAAAGATCTTCACCAGGAAAGAGCAAGATAATGTTCCATGCATGAATGTTGCCTCATTAAAATATTGCCCGTAAAATCTTGTGGGATAAAACCTAGACTAATGTGCAAATTTTCTTGTATCTTGATGTGGATGCTTCCCCTAATAAAATTCTTCCCCTGATAAGAAAATTAATTGAGTTGGTCACAAACCCGCATATACCGATATCATATACTAACTTTGTGAATTTTAATGATGGTAAAGTTTTAGTGAATAGATCTACAAGATTATCTCTCGATCATATCTGTTTTACTTCAATTTCACGAATCTATTGGAGTTCATGAGTATAGAAGAACATTGGTGATATATGCTTAGTTCTATCACCTTTAATAAATCCTCATTTGATTTTTGCAATTCAAGCAGAATTATCTTCATAGAACGTTGTTCGCAAATCTGTAGTTAAATGAGGTACACATGTACTTTGGATGTGATGGACTATAGATCTCAACCATACACATTTATGGCTTACTTCATGGAGTGCTAGTATCTCAAAATGATTAGAGGATGTAACAATTAAATTTTGTTTTATAGATCCTTATGAGCTTGTTGTATCATCACATGTGAATACATACCCAATTTGTGAACGATCCTTGTAAGGATAAGAGAGATATCCAGAATCTGAATAACTTACTAAATTTGGACAATTGACTTATTATTTTGAATATAATAAACTCAAATCTACAGTTCCATGGAGAAAAAAAAGGATATGTTTTATAACATTCAAATGTCATTGAGCTGGCACAAAATTAAAGCTTGCAATAGGTTAACTGCAAATATTATATCATGTCTAGTACATTATACTAAGTATAGCAAAGCACCTATTGCACTCAAATATTATATTTCGGGACCAAGAAATATTTCATTGTAACGTCCCAATTTTTTGAGACGTTATTTGGTTAAATACAATAATTTACATCTAATAAAAAAAGTGACAAAGCACTAATTGTCCCAATAAAATTACGACTATTAGTTCAACGCCAAAATACAAATAAACCTATAAATTTTAATATTACAAAAATCTATCGAGATCTGCCCATATTTAATTCTTCAAATATTTAAATCCAATGATTTCTCACAAAGTCACCTGAAAATATTAAATAAAGCAGAAATTTATACAATATGATGAGAAATAATATGTTCAACGCTATTGAATACCAAATAAACTAGGATCACCAAAGCATCTCAAATAGTAAATACAAAGCAATAAACTCATATATTGCATACCCCACATCATGCGAGGTCAAAACATAGATCTGACACCTTACCAATCATCTCACTTCAACCCGATACCATAGGCCTATTGGTTGGCAATGCATAGGACTTTTGCCTACCCAAATCTAGTCTCAATCCACACAAAACACGATCAATGTGATCAAGTTACTCAACAAAATTCAGTAGGAATTTCAGAATTACGATAACACAAAATAGAATACAACCAAAAATAATCAATGAAATGCTCTTTGCAAAAAAATTTAGGAGCATATGGTATACCACACCATAACTTAAAGTCATCAATTGACTAAAAAAAATAAAAAAATTCCAAGATCCACCAAAATGAAATCACCATTTGATGCTCGACTCATTCTCATAGATTATTATTATTCTTTCTTACTTCCTCTATTCTCTCCCTTGACCAAAAAAAAAAGTCTCCCCCTTTTAATTTCTGGCTGAAACCTCTCCTTCACATTTTATAGCCAAGACACACGTATAATTTTCCAAGACAAGCATAAGGCACCCATCCTTTTCCTTTAGTACTACAGGGACATACCCCACTACATTGCGTAAATTTTCCTACGTGGGTCCCACTCCCTTTTTAATTGTCCTTATACTTTATTTATTTATCAAGATATAGCACTCATCGAATGAATATATTATATTAGTGTTTTAAAATCCGACCTAACTCAACAAGTTGACTCAGTGAATCGATCACTACATCGGGTTGGGTAGTGTATTAGATTATTTGAGCACAAAATTCGATCAACCCTAATGAACTGAGTGATTCTTGTCCAAACCCAGTGAATCGGAATGTTGTTCACAAATTTGGCTGGTGAATTTAAAAACCATAAAAAAACCAGGCTTTTGGCCCTTTTAGACATTTTCGCCCTAAACCTAATTTTTCCCCCTTGTCTTTTTCTCTCTTTCTCTCCCTCTTAATTTTAGTTTGGGTTCTAATTGTAGACATTATTATTTTTTAATTTCTCCATGTAGTTCTTTAGATTTATGTGTATCTAGTTAGCACACTAAGCCCATGGGCAAAAAAACATGGTGGCCAAGGTGGTCTTTGGTCCACCCTCAAGTTTCTCCAAAATTTTTTACCTATGATTACTATATTTATATATACTACAATTTGTAATATATTCATTGTGTCCACCCTATCATTTTTGTATAGGCGCAAAATAAATAGGCATGAACATATATTATAGACACACCGCACACATTTTTGGATACAATTTTGAAACATTGGAGAGCATTTCATATTTTTCAATAAATTATGAGATTAATTGTGTTTATCCCAAAAGCTACACCACAAGAATGCAAGATGATGTGGCAATCGATGGGGAGTTCCTACAAAGGAAGTCGAGGACCGGTGGGGCTCTGGTGATCGACCCTTCGATGATAAAGTCAGAATGGCTAAAGTTGATTGAATTGTGTTTAGTTTGTAAAAGATTACTTGGTTCATGGCTCACAAGATCCTCGTATAGGCGGGCCAATTGTGCCAATGGAGCTCCTTAGCTGCTTTTTAAATATGGCAGCAAGAAAAGTGGAACATCCCTCAAGAGCTTCGCAGCTAATTTGACCTACGTCTCTGATATATGGGCAAGCAAACTGATAGACAGTTGCTGGAGTCTTTTTATTATGGTGGAGAGTTCATATTCCAAACTTGGTACCAAGCTCAAGAGTCAAGCTCTTGTGTGCGTGCTTGGCTAGTACTAATTCATGCTCTTCAGTTTCCCCTTATCTTAGACCAGTTGAGGACTCGCTTTGTGCATTTATTACATTGCCCATTAGAGACTTAAGGAGTGCAATCATTTCCTTTGTACCTATAACCGTCAAAGAGTCGTCGTGGGCCCAACGTATAAAAACCCTCCTTTGTTCGCACTGGTGTAACTTCTAAAGCTCTAAGAAATTTGGTACACCTTTGTCACTTTTTCCAAATCCTATTTCATTTTCCTTTTTCATTATGACTCTCTATTCGAAAGCTTTGTAGGGTCATTTATGGGTGAATCCATTTGTGTTCGGCTTAAATCTCGATTGCATCTTTCCTTAGAGTTTATATTCTGACCGCTAAAGTTTTCTGATTATGGCTGTTGATCCTGATCAATCCCACTCTAAAAGTTTCGCAGTGCTAGTGGCCAAAGCCAACACGGCTAATGAGGTTTTTCACTCTATCTTGGAGATCGGTTCTATATCTCTTAGGATTAGTGGACCAAGAACTACCATATTTGTTTGACTGAGAGCTCTCTTAAAGGGCTTAGGGTTTTATATCAAATTCCTGACATAGGGCACCTATGAATCCCTTTGCTAGCGAGATTGCAAATTCTTTTTTCCTTTATGAAGTTTATTTCTATGAATCTATTCTTGAGGCCGAGCTTCGTTTTTCGATCTCTAGATACATTAGGGAACCACTTTACCTCTTGAGTCTTACTCCTTATCAGCTAAGCCCTAATAGTTAGGGCTTTTTAATTAGAATGGGTTTCATTTGGGTCAAGGTGAACTGTGTCAGTGAACAGCCTACCTTCGCTGAGCCCATGCAATGCTACAAACTCACCCATTGCTCTGGTCAAGGTTTGGGTGGTTCTATTTTTCAAAAAGAGAAGGTTCGATCTACTAACAGGTTACTCTTCAAACATGAAAGAGTGGAAGAATAAGTTCTTTTTTGTATCTGGCATCGCTGGGAATTTGGGCCTTCTGAGGCTCCTTCAATCATTTCTTTTTGGACCCCCGTATTTTGGGGTCTCCTACCCTTTTTTCTAGTAAGTGGGTTTCTTCTTTCACAGTTCTTTTTTCATGCTTTTCCAGATTTTCACTCTGTCTCCTTGGGAAGTAGGTAAATCAAAACCCTTGTTTCTTGAATTCAGAATTCAAGTGAATAAGGTGCTTGACTACCCTACCAAAGACTTTTTTTTAGCGCGTGGGTGATCAAACTCCATTAAGTCCTTCTTCGAACAGTTCCAATCCTCCAGCTATAGCAACCTCTCTTCCTAAAGGTACAACTTCCTCTTACCATAATTTATTTTAGTCTAGGTACTCCTTTTAATTTTTCAGCTATGACCCTAAAATTTATTGACAAGAAGTCCCTTCAAACAGTTATGGCCAAGAGGGCCTTTGAAACTAGTCCCTTTTCTTGAAAGAGTCTCAAAATTTTCTTTACTTGAGCTAAAGGGGTGTCTCCAAGCTCCACTACCTTGCAGGTGTCTCTGTTGTCCTTTGATGCTACCCCTTGGAGCATTAACATTCAAACTATTGATGTTGGATCAGGAAAAGATTCTTTGTGAATTCCTTTGGTAGAAACTCCTCTTGTCCTTTCGGCAAACAAGGAAAA